TATAATAGAAATTTATTATTCAAAACATGCGGTAGAAGCACTGCAATGGTCATTATGTAATGCACTCATAACTCCAACTTATATTTGTAACACTTTCTATTATTCGATTACCAAGAAAAGATATTACCACCTTGCAGCAGACAGGAAAAGAACCGTAAAGACATTGAGCTATAGACGGTGTTTTATGGCTGTCCATGCACATTAGTCCTTTTCAAAATATTCTATGATTTCTCTCAATATACACGAAGATGATTGAAAAGTGCTACCTTATACTATTTTCACAATAACTTTTGTTTGCATATTGACCAGTTCTCCGTTTTGAAGTGAAGATTTCGGATATTCTGATCAATGAACTGTGCCTTACAGCAATTCATTTAGAAATATAATTCTAATGTTATTTAATGCGTTTTATTCAAATATATTCGTAGTTAATTAAACAAAAAGAAAATGAAATCTAATGTAATTAACGTTGCTTGCTTATTTGTTGAACTCGTGTTTGTCTATCTGATGATAAACGGTTTTTCTCTATAGTCAATAATCGTGCTGCTGTTTGTTTATGAATAAATTTCGGTTTATAATTAATGGTAATTGGAAAATAATGAGACTTTTTCGATGGATCGATTTCATCGTAAACCCTCAATCCTTGAAAAATCTCTTTCGAGCTTGTTATACGATAATTATTTTCTTCATCTTCATCTGAACAATATTCATTCGCTTCGACATTTGTTTCGGAAAGTTCAACAGCAATTTCACCATTACTATTATTATCATTATCTAAACTATCTTGAAGATCTTCTTCATTAAAATACGAATAATCTACTTTTAATTTTCCAGTAAGTTGTTGAAAAACAAAATCATTAAGTTTTCTGAAGTCATTTAAATTATTTTCCTTTAGTGTTTTAGTTAATTGTAAACTATCCATAATAGATTCTGCTTGATGATAGGCTTTAATAATAATTTTTTCTATATCATCGCTTGTTATTGTTGATGTAATAGGGGTATTTGCAGACATGGTTGTTTCTCTATGTCGACTTTTGTGATGAACAGGAAATTTTAATGAATGTGCGGCACAATTTGCCTCATCTGTAGATTTTGTTTTATTTAGAATAGAAATTTTCCCGATTTTTTGTAAAAAAGTGAACACAGAGAAGTTTGTTACGGTCGATAGAGTTCCAGTCAATGCCCGAGCGCTGCGGAATGTCGCCTCGCAAGGTTGACTGGAAAAAAGATGTGTATTAACTGCATAAGATGGTAAACGTCCTTCAGATACTAAAATAATTATTGCTGTTAAACAATGTACATTCAATTCCGATGATAACCAAGCAGCCCTTGCTACAAAACAATTATCCTTTTCCTTTTGAGAACAATTTTGTTTAATTTGAATACTACTCCTAGAAATTACAAGCGAAATGAATAAAAAATGATAAACAGATTTTTAGTTTTTTACCACCACATTCGATATGAGAAAGTTACTACCCCACCATAGTATAAGCGAGTAAGAATATCAGTCTCTGCTTTAACGTAAGTAAGAATTATTAATTTTAATAGATATAGATAAACATAAGTAGCTGACGCATTTATGTCCTTCAATACATTTAAAACGTCATCAGACGTTATCTTCAAACAAGAAGAATAATTTTGACGATCATGAGGAAAAACATCTGATTTCACTAGATTGTGATCGATTTTCGGATAATTCTGAATTATATAAAATAAATGGTTCACATCTATTTTTTTATTATTAATGAGCATAGTTGCTGTTTCTGATAAAAGACGATTTCTAATTTTTGTGACAAGATGTATACCATCTTGCATACAAAGATATGGTTGAGTTGATCTTATAAAAAAGAAATTCCAATGTGACGCAATATTGATTTCAAGTAAATTATTATTGCCAGTTAATAAATCGATGTTTGGTGCTTTAGTAAAGAAACCTAAGGACAATTGCATAGCTTTGAGGTAACGCGGATCACAATCCGTTGAAAAACCGACAACGTTAATATTTCTTTTTTTACATTCATTATACAAATACATCCATTTTCGAAGAATATCTATAGCAGTATATTTATTATTTGTTCCATAAGCAGAAAGAATAAATGGTCGTGAATGAACTAATGATGAAGAATTGCTTAATAAAGGTTCGACTAAATGTGCATTTACTAATGTGGATTTATCAAAATCTTCAAACCATTGTTGCAGTTCGGTGTACCTATTGGTTTTGAAGTGATCAACAAAAGGTAAACCATTTACTAATCGAGGAGAAAATCCAATAAAACAATCATTTCTACTATCGTAAGATACCGAAATAATAACACCAGTTGAGTCTTCTGACTATAAAAATAAAATATGCAATTAAATCATATAATTACTCTGGAAAACAAGTGAATTCTAATGAACTCTGATATATTCCAGTAGATACTTTATGAATTATGATAAAGCTGAAAATAGATCCCAGTAATGCGCTAATATTTACAACCAGAGTCTGTCATAATCTGTTCATGAACGCTTTCTTTCGGGATATAGGTAACTACTTATTTTCTTTTTTGCTCCCTTTTATTGTACATTGATATATTCTGATCAACTTATGTTGATTTTAATAAAAAGAATCAAATTCGTTTTTTTCTATTATATATTACATGATTCCAAAATACCTACCAGAAATACATGATTAGAATCAATTAATTCTAAATGATCTTTCAGACAATCAAATCGAAATTCACATTCTCTTAATTGCAAATTTATATTTTGATTATAAGTTTTTAACGTGGTAATAGAAGGTAGAGATCCTGGCAAATTAAGTCGAATGAATTCATAGGCATTATGCCCAGCTAATATATGGAGAACTGATGCAAATTTATTAACAGTATCATCGAATTGGTAATTATTACTAGATCGTTTCATATTCTTCAACAGATTGCTAACAAAAATATTGATAAATGATTTTGATTGATTTTCTTGATAAATATCTATTAAATCACACATACAATGATCTGTTTTTTTAATTACATTTGATGTTCTTTGAGATGAAACATAATTGACATTAGCTGATGTTGATTCGTAATACTTTCTCAATGTTTCAATAAATTGTTCGATATTAGATTTAATTCCCGGTCGTACAATAAACTGCAAATCATCCGTAACAAAACAAGCTTTTTCTTTTAATTTTAATATATCTTTAGAATTTATTTGAAAAAATAAGAATACATCTGGTACTTGTAATAAAATTCGAACATTTTTGATACGTTGTATTTCTAAAATTTCACTTTCTATGATACCAACAAATTCTCTGACGAATTTATAGAAAATATCATCAGAATAGGATGAAATATTTTCAAGAAATGGCAATAATTCTTGTTCCATACTAGCCATAGCTACTAGATTTTGAAAAACTATCTATAACATTTATTTAACACTTAGAAAATGGCCTTGGGTCTAATTAAATCGTTCAAGATAAATAACCGTTTCGAAAAATATAATTCATCTATATTTAGGATAATTTAATTACACATAATAGTAAGAAAACAACAAAAAGCTACTGTACATCACACACTCAAAATAAAATTTTTTGAATCAATAGAAATGCTGTATAATAAATGCTAAATATATAAAAACAATGGTATTCAAATTTTCTATTTAAGCTATACTCTATTATGCTTTTTTTTTCGTAATGTTCGTTGATGAGTATGATGATAGTGGTCGTTTTTTGCTATCAGAATAGTTGCATGAGATTGAGGTGTTAGTGGTAATTTGAGAACTATCATTGTCATCATTCAATCTTTCTTCGTCATAATCATTACCATCGTTCATATCATGAAAATCGTCATTTTTCAACAAATCATCTAGTGAGTTATTCTTTTTTTTTTAAATCTTCAATTGAGAATTGTTTCTTTTTTTTTATCATAGAACAACGAGTATTCTTTAAATGTTTGAAATATGAAGATAATTGAAATGAATTTCTATTTTGACGAAAAATAAGTTTAACTATTGTATTACAACCACATTTTATTTGCCCATTTATGTTCGAATGTAATGAAGTTACAGATATAAAATAATCATCATTGTTTTTTAAAATAACGTTTTTAAAAGTGTTGATAGAAAATTTTTCTATGCTGTCTGAAATCGCATCGATGTAATGATTGATTGGCATTAAATTCAGCGCTGTTGTTGGTGTTGATGTTAATGACGAATCGATAGAATCAGAAAGTGGTGTATTTGACAAAGATGTATTCGAATGAAGATGATTTGTTGTGTAGGTTAATGATGATGATGATGATGATTTGGAGTTTTTTGTTTGTTTAATATACTTGCTGTTTTTCTCTTGAAGTGTTGTTATCAAACTATTCATACCAGCTTTGATTCCTGATTTAATAATAATGTTGTTATTATCTTCATCGACAAAACAAATACTATTTCTAAGACCAACAAGTTCTTTACAATTCACGCTAAGTATAGCAAAAACGTCCGGTACGTTTAACAGTGCTCTGATGTTTTTAATTGATTGCATTTTCAATAAGTTCATTTCGTCGACACCTAAACAGTCTTCAATGAACTTGTAAAATTGATCGTTTGAGTAGAAAAGAACTTCATCAGGTAAATTATTTAAATCGATAGTTATCATATACGTATATTGTACTTATTGGAAAAGAGCATAGATGTATTCGAGAGAAATATTAGTATAATTAGAACAGATAATTGTAATTTCTGTCATGATTCACAAACGGTGAAATAAAAAATGATGCGCACCACTGTCACTCTATTATTGACAATCAAAGCATTAATCTTTTTAAACTTATTTCAAACTGAACTCTGATTGAATAATATGAAATATATTGATGAATTACTCGATCTTTCTCATTTTTTATCAGAATAAAATTTCAATTTTTTGTATTATATATTATTCATTCCACGTAACATGTTGTAGCTTTTCGTTCAACAGCAATAATCTTTTTAACAGCTTTCTACAAGGTTCTAATAATTCGAAGAATCTGTCTTGTAAAGATAATAATGGGAAAAACACCAACAGAAATCATTGAAAAATAAAATGCTTGGCTGCATCAGATCTTAGTCAACGCCTACAAGAGCGAAGAAGGAGAATTTGAAAGTTAATACGGTCTCACAAATACTTCGAAACATTTATTAGGATCCAATAGGGATCCATTGGGATCCAATGGGATCGAATGGGATCCAGCGGGATCCAATGGGATCCAGCGGGATCCAATGGGATCTAATGGGATCCAGCGGGATCTACGGGATCCTGGGATCCGGGATCCGCTTTTTCCCCCTTGTTTGTTTAGTTATGAATAAATAGATTTGAAAAAATGAATAACTTTTG